GAAGCTAGTAAATCCAGTCTTTATGGGGAAGTAAGTTGCATTTCAGGTACATTATCGTAGCACTACAAAAGATTCTACCGATGTATCTCACCAAAGTTATTAAATATACCATCATGAAGTGAATTCAGTGCATCTTAATTTTGATATATCTAGATGGATCTTGGCTGGTAAACTTAAACGTATGTAGTTATGGATTTGTAAAATATGATATATATAAAAGTGATGCTAGCTTCTCATTCAAAGAGAAGAAAGAAATGAATACACAAGAAAAATAAATTAACGTCATTCACGAGGAATCCTAGGATTATGCATACAACAAGCTAATTTGCACCACTAAAAAACTATGCTAATAGCGAAATAACGAGACAACTGTCGTTGATTCACAAACTAGTTTCTACAACTGGAATTATATGATATATACTCTTTTGATGTGAAGCTTCCAAAAATTATGTATTCATAACTCTAATGTCTTGTACAATGAAAGTTATTTCGCGTTATTACATAGGTAAAATCCTTATTACTCAGATAAGAACATCTAAAAAACCTGAATGTACCAATACTCAAATGGCAAGTGGAAATTATAGGTTGGTTTAGTGACAGATTACAGGAAATGACAAATCTTAACGCTGGTATCCAAATGTCTTAAAATAAACAATGTTGTAAATTATCAAATTAATATGTAAAACAACAAGGTTTTGATAAAATCACATCAAATAATTTCACTATATTTACATCAGTGGTTCCCAACCGATGATACACGAGAACCTTTGAAAAACGCTAAAAAGTAAATAAATTCTACGCCTCACAATTGAAGGGTAGTCTCAGTGAGTTATCACTCTATTCCACTAAGCAGCACTTAATGTTCGCCTATTGTTGACTTATTCTTGAATTATTTTTGATTTACTTTTGTATTAAAATAAATCACAGTTAAGTTTTATTAATAAATCATCTGTGGTAGGGGTACACCGCTAGCTCGAAGATCTGGCTGAGGGTAAGCGTCATAAAAAGGTTGGGAACCACTGTTTTAGAAATACTCATTATTTGTTAAACACCAACAATGAAATCCATCTAGGCACGGTCAAAGTAATAGCCCTAGATAGATATGATAATATTTCGAAATTACTATATAAGTTATTGATGGTCACCTCTCTAATTAACTACAGCAATTATTTTCAGATTTAATGAAATTTCATGACTTCGCTCTCAAGTTCTCAACCATAAACATATGGTTTGTGTACACTTTTTTTAGACAGTCATTAAAAAATGATAAACTTTACTTTCAAGAAATGTTATCTGTCCATGCGTTATTTTACTCAACATTTTAGTTGTTTATTATAAATTCTTTTATTTCAAAATTTGTAATTTGTGGTACATAACAAAAATCTTACTTTTTGTCTTGATAAAATTAATCTATAGTTGTTTTTTATATTATAAAGTCCAAGCTGGACTCATAGTTGCTACAGCTTTCAAGGTTGAAGTGTAATGATGGTTTAGTACATACTGAAGGTTAACGATCTTTAACGTGACGTTTGTGTAAGGTTAAAATGTGTGAAAGTCTAACGCACTGCCACTCAGACTCTGCCATATCAAGGCGATAATTTCGTATAAAACACTACCAAAGGTACTCGCCAATGCTGGATTTAAAAACTAATACTATAAATGGGGCGTGGGTCATCCACTTCCTGCATTTTGAGCCGTAGTACCCGAACTTTTGGTTCCATACAACGTTACTCATGCTGCGTGCGACATTAAGCGTCACTTTGTTTGATGTCGTATTCAGGTATTTTTTTACCGAACTCCTCGTTCAATTGAGCGCTCACTCACGGCTTGAGGCGATAAAATTGAAATGCCAGCCCAACTCGATCAGATATCCGATTATTTGCCCACGTAAACTCGATCTTTGGTGAGTCCACCTGAGTTCCTCTATTGGGTTTAATCTAAATTAGTTCAACCAGTTCTTCACAATTTTGGTTGTGACGTAAAGTTACCAAACAAACAGACCAATAACTGTATTTTATATAGATATTGTTACGTCTCTGTTCGTTTGTTAATTTCCGGTATAATTTCTTTCCGATTAACTTCAGCGATACAAGTCTTT